CCCTTATATAAAACTTTTGTGCTTAGAGCAATGTAAGGAGGGTGTCCATGGCATCGCTTTGGTGAAGTTCTTGCTAAACACAAACACAAACTGAGATGGAGGGATATCCCACCAGGGAAGGATCTGGGTGGTGTGATTTCCATAGCAGGAAAAGGAGGGCTTATGAGTGGAGGACAGACTGCTGTGTGGTGGCAGAGCCTGAGCAGGGAGAGGAGAGACCCATGCAGTAGGGTGACCTGATCCAGGGTGCCAGATTCCAAGCAAGGTGAAGAGGGCATCCACACCGTGGGGTGGCCTGGGTGAGCTATCAGAGTGCAAGTCGATTGAAGGGGGTGTCTACATGTAGGGATGGCCTGGTACAAGGATCAAGGCACAGATTGAGGAGGACAGTAACACTGGGGAGGGAGCAGTGGCAGTAATGCAAGCTTGGTTCGTCTACCAGGGGATGGATCAAATAAACAAATATAGTAAGGCTCATGGGAGTCAGGTTTCTCATCCTGAAAGGAGTCCTAAATATGGAAAGGGAGAAAGTTGGAATAATCCCTGAGGTATTGAATTGGAGTAAGAATATCAGTGTGAACTCATGGATTGCAGTGTTTCTGTATCCACATGACATCAATGTCAATGTTGACATGTATAGAGATAAATGTCTATGTGAGTGTGTGCGTGTGTTCCCTAGTACTGTACACTGAGAAAGCCTGAGTGCTGTGAAACAAAACTAGAACCAGCAGATGTTGTTCTGATTGTGGGTTTTTTTTTTTTGAGATAAGAGTCTCACTCCCATCACGCAGGCTGGAGTACAGTGGTGCAATCATGGCTCACTGCAGCCTCCATCTCCCGGGTTTAGGTGATCTCCCAACCTCAGCCTTTTGAGTAACTGGGAGGACTACAGGCACATGCCATCATGCCTGGATGATTGTTGTATTTTTTTTTTTGTAGAGACAGGGTTTTGCCATATTGTTCAGGCTGGTCTCGAACTCCTGAGCTCAAGCAATCCATCTGCCTTGGCCTCCCAAAGTGTTGGGATTACAGGCGTGAGCCATCGTGCCTGGCCAGATTGTGGCTTCTAAATACCATCCACCACTTAAAGGAATCAGGGCTCCTTGGTAGGGTGCCAGATTTGGCAAATGAAAATAAAGCAAATATTTAGCAAAGAAGATATTATTGCATGTGACGTACATGCAATATATATTTACCTGAAATTCAAATTTAACTGACTACCCTGTATTTTATGCAGCAACTTTACCCCTTGGAGATATGATTGATTCCAACACTGGGCCAGGGAAGGTACAAGAAGAGTCAGAACATTTTTTTTTATACAAGAAAAAAGGTAAATAATCAAGGGATGAAATGACACAGACATCATTTTAAAGGGACTCCCATTAGCCAAATATGGGAGCAATTTAAGCATAAAAATAAATAAATAATAATAACAGGTTATAAACCATTGAACAAAATAGGAAACCATGAGGCTAATAGGAATAAAACAATAAAATAGAAGTTTGATGAGGAATTGAATATTTATCTAGATCTAAATATCTCCACACAAAATACTTATTAATTCCATATGGACAAAATAGTAACTTCATTGTGAAGAAGCCTGGTAGATACCATTTTAATCAAGTGATTAAAGTGAACATCATGACTGACAGAATAAATTGAAATTGAGCATCATCTGATAATATGCAGTAAAAACGTACAGTGATGAGCATCATCACTTTGGTGACGTTCCTGTTAAAAACAAACATGTTGAAACTGAGTGATGTTCCATAATAACTAGTTGTAATCTTCAAAGGTACTGAGGTCATGAAAGTCAAAGAAAAACTGAGGAAATGTTTCAGAGAAAGGACACCAAAGACATGTGACAATTGGATGTATCACATATTCTAAAAAGGATCCATTATTTTTGTTATAAGAAATATTATCGGGATAATTGATCAAACAATGGGATTGCAGGATTAGATATTATTAATTATCAAGTTCGGGAGGCTGAGGCAGGAGAATTGCTTGTACTCAGGAGGTGGAGGACACAGTGGGCTGAGATTGCACCACTGTACTCCAGCCTGGGCAACGGAGCGAGACTCCATCTCCAAAACAAAACAAAACAAAACAAAACGTGTTTTGCAACGACGATGTAAGGGACTCAAAGCTAACTATCTGGAGACCACAAACTCATACATTAAAAAATACTCCTGAAATTAAATTGCTAGAGTTTTTACCCACAAAAAGCAAAAAAAGGAGACTCAACATATTACTGACACTTGCATGCAAAGCATTTGGGGAAATTGCCGTTTAAAGGAAAAACGAATAGCAGTTACCTCTGAGGTTTAGAAAGTGGCATTTCATCTCTTAGGTAGATGGTCCTTTTGTTTAATAAAAACATCTTTATGGGTGTGTCAGACACTGGTAACTTTCTACCCTATAACTATTCTTCCTTCTTTCTTTATTAACAGAACTCAAACCTCACTTTGGACAACCATGCTCAGGGCCTTCTCAGCCTTCTTTAGAGCTGGGTATGGACTTAAGATACCACTCTATCAAGGAGAGCTAAACAGAGTGTGCTGGAAATACTGGGAAAATAATCAGTGTGGATGTGACACCGGAGGATTGGCAGCTTTTTTGCAAGTCATCAGGTAACGGGTTTAATGATAAAAGTCAACATGACATGGATGGCAATAAAGACGGCAAAGCAAGAGAAATACCCTGGATATGTGACGGTATTATGAATATCATGGTATATTGTTGTAATGTTCAATGTTTCTGTATTTTTGTGTGTGTGTGTGTGAGATGGGATCTCATTCTGTTGCCCATGCTGGAGTGCAGTGGATGGGACAATCACGGCTTACTGCAACCTCAACCTCCCTGGGTCAGGTAATCCTCCTATGTCAGCCTCTCGAGTAGCTGGGATTACAGGTGTGTGCTACTACACCCAGCTAAGTTTTGTATTTTTTGTAGAGATGGGGGTTTCACGGTTTTGCCCAGGCTGGTCTCGAATTCCTGGGCTCAAGCAATCCATCTGCATTGACCTCTCAAAGTGCTGGGATTACAGAGATGAGTCACCATGTGAGGCCATGTTTCTATATTTTTAAAAACTGTCACAATGAAAATTTGAAAAATGACAAATAGGATTGAAGGTTTCTAGAATGCCATTTGTTTATCCTGAGAACATCCTCAGAAAATATAGATCAAATAATTTTACTTTTTCTGAGATGAAGTTTCACTCTTGCTGGCCAGGCTGGAGTGCAATGGTGCGATCTTGGCTTACCACAATCTCTCTGTCCGGGGTTCAAGTGATTCTCCTGCCTCAGCCTCCTAAATAGCTTGGATTACAGGCATGCACCATCACGCCCAGCTAATTTTTGTATTATTAGTAGAGATGGGGTTTTACTATGTTAGCCAGGCTGGTCTGGAACTCCTGACCTCAAGTGATCCGTCCATCTCGGCCTCCCAAAGTGCTGAGATTACAGGTGTGAGTCACCATGCCTGGCCTAGATCAAATAATTTTGGATGGTAGTGGCTGGGGTCAAGTATTGAGCCTGGCACAGTCTAGGTATCAGACTGTATGCTCCATGAAGGTAGGGACAAGTTCTTTTTTTCCCTCTTCTTATCACTGAATGTCTAGCACTTCGCTCTAGTGTTAGAAAATAGTAGGTGAGGCCGGGCGTGGTGGCTCACACCTGTAATCCAAGCACTCTGGAGGCCAAGACAGGCGGATCACCTGAGGTCAGGAGTTCAAGAACAGCCTGACCAACATGGTGAAATTCCATCTTTTTTTAATAAAGAAAGAAAGAATAAAAAATAAAAAAAAGAAAATAGTAGGTGATAGTAAGATTTTACTAACTCAATACATCACTATCTTTTAGAAGTTAAAACAAAAATTTACTAATAATATTTATAATAGCTTGTCCCTTTGGTAATTCCCTATTGTTCATTCAATAATTTAACTTTGAATCTCACGCGAGAACATTTTAAAGCCTTTGTTCTACAAGATTAGTTACATTTAAGCCTACCTTAACCTTTTTACAGTTATTTTTAAACCTTTTTACTCAATTTTTAATTTTAAAAAAGCTGGATTTTATCAATAAAAATATTTCATGACTATTTATGACAAAACCAGCTGGCTTGTATCCTGAAGGATTCCTCTGAAGCTTTAAGGTTACATTTTCAACAATTATAAATGATTCAAAGTTATTTTATTTTCTATTAAAACCAGTAGTCATCTATTATTAATTTTCAGAATTTATCTTTTTTTGCAAACCCTGATGATCAGAAAGGTAACACAGGGGAAATCTCATCATTAGTCTCTAAGTTTTCCAGGTTGATTTGTATTTTTATTGTTTTATTTATTTATTTTATTTTATCATTTTATGACAAAGTCTTACTCTGTTGCCCAGGCTGGAGTGCAGTGGCATGATCTCAGCTCACTGCAACCTCTGCTTCCTGTGTTCAAGCAATTCTCCTGCCTCAGCCTCCCGAGTAGCTGGGATTACAGGTGCATGCCACCACACCAAGGTAATTTTTGTATTTTTAGTAGAGACGGGGTTTCACCATTTTGACCAGGCTAGTTTCAAACTCCTGATCTCAAATGATCTGCCTGCCTTAGCCTCTCAAAGTGCTGAGATTATAGGCATGAGCCACTGTGCCTGGCCTGTTCTTGTATTTTAAAATATCATTAAATTCTGAGAGCCTCTAACATTTTACAGTACTACAAATTTATTAAGAAACTCATCACCAAATCCAAGGGCATTCCTGCAACATTTGATGCTGTTTTATTTGGTAAAACTCTTTTCTCAGCTATTAAGGAAGTATGGTGATTCTTTGAAGAAGCAATGGGAACCAGTGACAGATTGGCCATAAAGGATAAAGGCGACAGTAGAGAAACTTAATTTTTTTAAAGCAAGTTTTCTTCAATTTAACCCATTTTTAGTGCTATTATTTATATTGATCTTTATTTTTTTTAAATTTCCATTTGTATCAATATTAATTTGATCCCAAATCTGTTAGGCTTAAAATAGGCTTTATTCAATTGTAGAATAAGAGGGCTGCCATGTGGAAATGAACAATATTCTATAGATCTTGGGAATTAATTTACCTTATTTTTCCAGAAGACAGAGTCAGTGTGATATAATGGCAAGCGTACTGTATTTGAAGACTTGGGGTGGAGTCCAGGCTTCCTATTTACTTGCCCTCCTGACTCTGGGTAAGTCAATTTCTCTGGGTCTCACCTTCCTCCAGTTTTAAAATATCACTGATTCTAAACAAAGAAAGCAGAGAAAAGACATTAATGAAAATAATCAAATATAGTATGTTGGGAAAATAGGCCAGGCAGTGACATGGATGGTATGTATTTTATGTTAATGAGTGGAATTTAAAAAATCCATAAATCGTAGCAGAAATGTTAGGAGGAAAGAAAAAGCCACTGTGACTTTTAAAAAATCAGTGAACCTGGGAAATGAAAAAATATATGCAGGGAAAACAATTACTGACATGGTTGCCTTGAGAAAAATACAAACCAACAAAAAGTTTAGTTGCAGAGATTCAAGAGAATTAAAATTTTCTTTATATTCTCAAAGGAAATAAAAATACAACAAAAATAAAAACCACCATGAGGGGTTGCTGGCAATCACCTAATAGTTGAAAAATTACATTATTTTGGATGGTAAAGAAATAAAAAAGCCCTACAGGTCCACTTTTAAGAAGTTTATTAGCTGGGTGTGGTGGTACATCCCTGTGGCCTCAGTTACTTGGAATATTGAGGTGGGAAAATCCATTGAGCCCAGGTTGGGGCTGTAGTGGGCTGTGTTCACATCAATGCACTCCACCCTGGGTGACAGGGTGACTTTGTCTCAAAAAAAAGGAAAAAGAAAAAAAGTTTATAGGGTGGGCATGGTGGCTCACACCTGTAATTCTAGCACTTTGGGAGGCTGAGGCTGGACGATTGCTTGAGTCCTGGCAGTGGAGACCAGCCTGGGCAATATAGTGAGACCCTGTCTCTATAAACAATAAAAAAATTAGAGGGGTGATGGCATGTGCCTATAGCCTTAGCTACTTGAGAGGTGGAGGCAGAAGGATCGCTTGAGTCCAGGAGTTGGAGACCTAAGTGAGCTATGATTGAACTACTCTACTCCAGCCTTTGTGACAGAGTAAAACTCTGTCTCAAAAAAAAAAAACACCAAAAGTTTATAATCAAATTAATAATAATAAACCTAGGTAAACTATAATTATTCTTATTTTGGAAGGAACTTGTCCCAGATTTAACTCATTTGGTGGCATTATTGATGGCCGTGGCGGCTGTTCAGAGCAGCCACTGCCATCATGCTGGCTGCAGTGGGGATGTGTGAGTGGTAGTGCCAGTTGTGAGACCCGCGTTCCTGCGGTGACCACTGTGCTGTCCCTCACCCGGCCACCCATCCTTGCATAGCTGGGCTGCACCCGCTCCCAGGCTTGGAACCTCCACTGCTCCAGACCCAGGCCCTGCATCACTGCTCTTGCCCACTGCCACTGCGGGGAGCACTTGGGGAGGAGGTGGACAGTCCCCAGAGCCCGCCCCTGGGAGAACACTGGAACACGCTGCCCTGGGGACTGCTGTGATGGGGCAAGGTTGAGCTGCTTGCCAGCATGGGAGCAGCGTGGTCAGGCAGGGAGAGGTGGGCAGAGAGGAGCCTAGCGAGGACCTGGAGTCCCCGCCCTAGGTTGCAAGGAGGCACAGCTGGGGCTGTACACTCCATGGAGCAGGTGGGAGCCCCACTCTCCTGGGCACAGGACCAGGGCAACTGCAATCTGCACCCTGGTGGGGAGGAAAGGGAAGGAAGGTCCTCTTACACCTGCAGGCCCAGGTTGTCCGTTTCCACTGGCTGGCTTCTCCCTGCTCCCAGTGCCTACTCAGATCTCGGAGCCAGATTGGGGCCAAGCCCGGGCACTGTCACAGCCCAGCTGGGTATATGTAGGCTTGGGGGAGTGCTGACATGCCAGCCCCCTGCCGCCTCTGCCCCCTCTAGATGTTGGGCACCAATAAGCATGGGAGGGAAGCAAGGGTTGGCAGGGCTGAGGGCAGCTCTGCACTGGCCCCACAGGCACCCCTCTGCAGGAATAGCCTGGGCGCCACGAAAAGTGGTAGGAGGCTGGGCATGGGGGCTCGTGCCTGTAATCCCAGCACTTTGGGAGGCCGAGGTGGGCGGATTACGAGGTCAGGAGTTCGAGACCAGCCTGACCAACATGGAGAAACCCTGTCTCTACTAAAAATACAAAATTAGCTGAGTATAGTGGCACATGCCTGTAATCCCAGCTACTCTGAAGGCTGAGGCAGCCTTGAACCCGGGAGGTATAGGTTGCAGTGAGCCAAGATTGCACCATTGCACTCCAGCCTGGGCAACAAGAGCGAAATTCTGTCTCAAAAA